TTAAGCAGCTCACTAATAATACTTGATTCTGGGATCCATTGTATTCTTTGCTATGGAAAATTAATTGCTTGATAACTTCTTCTGTGCTCACTAAATATGTGCTTTGTGTAGTGAAAGATTTTCAATTCTGCAGTTCCAGAGAGGCAGCATCAAACTGTAATTTGGGGTTGGCATATTATGATTTTATATTGAAAAACATCTCTGTAGGAATAGCTCTCATTCTGCAGTTCCAGATGGTGCTGCATTTGTTATTGGCTTTTGGAAGACTTCTTGTTGAAGCAATTTTTATTATGGAACATTGTCTATATGATGATGTAATATACTGTGAGTGCATTGAAACAAAATGCAAGATGATACTTCTTCATAATTTACAGAGCACTTTAACTTAAATTCACAATTTATATTGGTGTCATTGTTGCTATCTATCCACATGTTCTAAGTTCAGCTTGGCCTTTCAATGGTTTTTTGGTAACTATTTACCTTGTTCAAATGATGGAGAGTCACTGGCTAAAATTGAAGACATGGTCATCTTATGATAAAATTTAGGAATGCTATTCTACTTAGTTTTTGAATTTTTGTTCTGAATTTATAATAATTAGGAGTTCTGATATCAGAGGACAATACTAGATAATATAAAAGGATTAATTCCTCAATTTCCTTCTAAGATTTGTGTACCTATGAAAATTGTGTAGTGCCACTCCACCTCCTACTTCTAGTGTTTTTCTAGAATTTTTGGTCTGCAAAACTAGGCCAAGGGGTTATTTTCTCACATCATATGTTGAGTGTGGTTATTTGATGGTTTTGTGTGTTTAGTGATGACTACCTGACAATTAGCTACCAATATCCAAGGATTACAGTTATGAGATTTTTGTTTATTTGTTGAAAGTAGAGTTTGGCTGGTTATGCTTCCTTTCTTTTGGATATCTTGCAAGCCAGTTTCACAAGTTTACTTGGCTGGTGTTTACTAATGTTTCAGATTTGGCAGCATTTCTGTTTCTTCGCCATCACGGAAAAACTAATTCTGTCCTGAGTCTTAGCAAAGGTCACACTTTGTTGATTTTCTGCTTAAGGGAGTTGTAGTTTTATTTTATTTTATTTTATTTTGGTATTATATAAATTTGTTATTTTTAAGGCTGAGATTAGCATTATGAGCATGCTAAAACAAGTTTAGGTGTATTTATAATTTGCTAATGAGAAAAGCTTTGAAGACAACCTTTTTCCTGATGATAATGAATCATGCTTCTTATAACTAAATGGTTAATTGGAAAAAGGTATAGCTTGATAAGTTAATTAAAAAAGGTAATTCTTGGTAGTCATCATCAACTTTTCCTTCATTAGAAGGCCTGAAGTTTTTATAAAACTAATGAACCAGCATTCAATTTTAGAAATAAGTGTCTGATTCTTGGCAACTTTTATTGATCAATTTGAGTACATGAGTAAAAATCTACTTCAGATATCCAGTGAGGATCTAAGTCATGTTCTTTTTATTTTTTTTCATGTAGTTGTGTGTTTAAATCTAAAGACATGAATGTTCAAGTCTTGATTTTCTTAACAGTGAGATGGGTTAGTGGATAAAGGTTGGGTGTGTTACAATTTTTATTTTCTAGGCATTTGAATCCATCTTTAGTCTTACATTTTTTTTTTAAGAGTTATATAACCATTGTCTATGTAGTCTGAGATTATATTCCATGGACAGGTTCCAGGAACATGGAGATGGATGCTTGGAGTTTCTGCTGTGCCAGCTGTCATTCAGTTTGTCCTTATGCTTTTATTGCCTGAGTCTCCACGATGGCTTTTTATGAAGGTCAATGATGCTCTTCTTTTTCTAATATTCTTTCTGAGTTTAGACTTGTTGCTTTTGCTTAAGTGTGCAAGTCATGAACTGGTCTGTCTTTCTATGCAGGATGACAAAAATAAAGCCATATCTGTGCTTTCTAAAATTTATGACCTGGCTCGGTTAGAAGATGAAATTGAACACCTAACTGCTGCTTTAGAAGAAGAATCCCAGAAGAGCGTGATCAGATACTCAGATGTCTTTAAAAAAAAAGAAATCAGAATCGCCTTTTTTGCTGGGGCTGGACTTCAGGTATGAAATGTCACACCACGAGTTTAACAGGATATCCTCATTCCTCTGAACAATGGAATCATTTTTGTTCATTGACTTTCAATTATGATTTTTATTTTTTCATGATAAATTTGTCCACTCTTGTTTTTATCATATGCGTTTGTTTTGACTATTCATCCAATCAATTCAAAATTTATAGTACTTTTTGGATTATCATTATGATAAACCTTTTTTTGGATGCAAACACATACATATTGTTGATTTCATCAATTTGAGGAATTGACCTATCAGTAGTATTTTGGACATTGCTTGTGGACCTAATTGTTCCCTTCAATAAAATTATAAATGGTACCAGTAAAGAGGAAATTCTTTTCACCGAGTTTGCTAGCATGGGCAAGGATTATGTTGTAACAAAGAAACTTTAATTGTACAGGCATTTCAGCAGTTCACTGGCATCAACACTGTCATGTACTACAGCCCAACAATTGTTCAGATGGCTGGATTCAGATCCAATCAGCTGGCACTTTTTTTGTCTCTGATTGTTGCTGCCTTGAATGCAGCTGGAACCATTGTTGGCATTTATCTTATTGATCATGTTGGACGGAAAAAGTTAGCCCTTTCAAGCTTATCGGGTGTAATTTTGTCCCTTGTCATCCTTGCTGTGGCCTTCTTTGCTCAATCATCTGGTTCTTCAGGTGGACTTTATGGATGGATTGCAGTATTAGGTTTAGCTCTTTACATTTCATTTTTCTCGCCTGGAATGGGACCTGTGCCATGGACTGTGAACTCTGAGATATACCCTGAGCACTACCGTGGGATATGTGGAGGCATGTCTGCTACTGTTAACTGGACTTCAAATTTGATAGTGTCCGAGAGTTTTCTGTCAGTTGCTGACGCTATAGGAACGGGGACAACTTTCTTGATTCTTGCTGGCATGGCTGTGCTTGCTGTTGGTTTTGTGATTGTGTTTGTGCCAGAGACCAAGGGATTGACATTTGCAGAAGTGGAGCAGATATGGAAGAAGAGGGCATGGGGCAGCGGATATAATACCAATACCGAGAGCCTTCTTGTGCAGGGAGACCAATCTTAGGTGCCATGTATATTAGGTTTGAATATTGTCTGTTATATGTGCTTGAAGAATGAAGATGAATTAGGACGTATTTTCATATTTCAGAGTTTGAGATCAAAGGATGCTTTAAAATATGTTCGTATGTATTATGTGGCGTCTAAGGGATTCTTTTATTGTATACCCTGTGGAGCAGGTTACTATCCATTTACTGTTTAGATCTATGGACAAATTTATCAAAACTATGTTTGCGATTGTTGCATTGGAAATCTGATATTCCACCTGTCATCTCAAAAATCTGCTGTGGCAGAAATGAGGGATGCTTTTCCCACATGAGGGATGTCCTTGGCTGTTACCACAACTGCCTAAGGTGAAGTTTGGGAACTTAAATTTGAAATTGATGAGTGTATATAAAATTCAAGTAATTTAGGTATATGTATTTTAATAAATATAAAAAAACACAATTTGAATAAATTAAATTACTATGAATTTGAAATTGAATTGATGCTAGTTCTTCCTATTGAGGCTTTTTCACAAGCACTATAGTAGACAATCTTAATTGCCCATGTCATTCCCCTTATTTCTCTCCCTCTATTTGAAGCACGGTGTTAAAACATCATAACCCCAATGAGGCAATTTATCGAATAGGTGGTATGCAAAGCAAAAGAAAACTATATTCTTCTAGGCCTCATCACCTCAAGACCCAAAATTTTTTAAATATCAATCAACAATTCAATTGAATAAATTTAACTAGAAATTTTGTCAACAATCACTCACAAACAAAAAGGACTAATAGAGTTAAGCACCTTGGTTGAAAACAAGTTCCATTTGCCCCACCATTCTTGAACAAAATATGGAGCCCAACCAACTAAATATATGAAGTTAGAAGTTAGAACAGGTCCATACCTTTAAATACAAGCACTAGTAAAGTGCGTCCTAATTAATTCTAAGAAAAAGAGGAGCAAAGTGAAGGGAGGTTGCCAAGCAAATAGGCCGGTGGGGAAAAGAGTTGCATTGACGTTGTGATGAGTTCATAACCATTCCTTTGCCTGACCCTTTATACCCATATAAGAAGAAGAGATGGCATAATTCAAATTTGATTGGTAAGCTTGTAAGTGTGCTCCCCAAGATATAGACTTGAGATTTACATTCAAGAATTACATCCATCATGAAATTAAAGAAAAAGAAGATCTATGCTAAAGAAGGAGAAAAGGGCCTTGATAAAAAATTAGCAGTGGCTTGTGGTAAAGTTGATAAGAGATTTCATTGAGGATCCTACTTAATTTGACTAAATACCAGAATTGAGAATTGAAATTCAACGAGTAGGCAGGGTATTTGAAATACATGCAATTTTTATTTTGAAATAAATAGTTCCAAATACATGTGTTTCAAATTCAAATACACTTAAATCAAACTTATGTTCCTAAACATAACATAAAAGAAAACCAACAACAAACACAGGAGCAAAAAATGAGAAAATGTGTGGATAATGATACAAATTTTGTCCTTTTTTTTTTTATTTAAGGATATAAACATTTTGAGTTATTAATTAGGTAATAAAAAATTGATATAAATCTTGAGTTTTTTTAGATGACAAAGATGACATAGCAAATGACAATCTTAATTGGAATAGGATAAATTTTATATCCTTAAATAGAAAAATGGTAAAATTTGTATTCCTATATAGAAAAAAGTGAAAGTTTACTTCTTGATGTAAAAACCCTAACCCTATATTTGGTAGGAATAGGGCAAAAGTTATAACCTTAAATAGAAAATTGGCAAAATTTGTATTCTTAAATAGAAAAAAGCAAAAGTTTACTGTATGATTTAAAAACACTAACCCTATATTTGTGTTGAGGGGAGGGGAGGGGAAGGGAGGGGAGGGAAATGAAAGAATATCATGGTAAGTAGAAGTATGGACCTCACATCACTTAAGGTGGATTCTGTGCTTATGGGCTAGTGGGTCTTATTATGATTGTGATTGGGCTTGATGAAGATATCAAGCATTTAAGTGGAGGAGATTGTAATAGCCCAAATTCCACAATAGATGGAATTGTGAGTGTGATTGGCATATAAATGTAAATACCAATGACTATTGATAACTTGAGTTTAAGCTTTTAAGAGTTTGTGGACCTTAACATGAAAAGTTGTTAAGGTAGTGATGAGCCTTGGCCTTGGTAATTTTAGTCGGCATTAGAGTAGTCAACTCTCACAAGTGTGGGCCCATACTAATCATCATGGCAAGTGGTAATGTAGACCTCAAACCACTTGAGGTGGGGAGATTTTAATGTCCTAAATCCCACAGTGAGATGGAAGTGTGAGTGTGATTGGTATATAGTTGTAAGGACCAACCACCACTAATAACTTGAGATTAAGCTTTTGATGCCTTGGGTACCTTGGCCCAAAGACTTAAGTCATTGGCAGGTTTTGGCCATAATCATTTTAGATAGCATACACTGCCCTGTGCATGTGCTACCCAACCTTAGTTTAATATGGGCTATAGTTTGGCACCCACAATGCCTCTAAAGAGTGAAATGCCATTTTTAGATTTTTTTGGTCCTTAATTTCAAACAAATTTAAAATTGGATTAAGTAATTAAATTAATCAACTCTACAAATCCAACCATAGCCCATATTGGATTAGGGTTGGGTAGCAAATGCACAAGAAGAGGAAGAGAAGAAAGAAAAATATTCTCCTTCCTTGTTTTTTTACTTTGAGTAGAAGACTAAGTTTCTTAATTGGATTAGAATAGTAAGTCTTGTTATTCCCTATTCATAATAAATAAGTATAGAAAACAAAATATCCCAAAGTTCTTTTTTTTTGGTAGAATTTTAGGCTACTTAAATCATTTACTACCCAAGAATGAGTCTCAACTAGTTTTTTCATTGATAGCACCCTAGAAGATCTAGTATTCTTTGAATTCTCAAGTAGATGTGTGGATCACCACTAGTTAAGTTCTATGTTTAGACTCTTGAGGATTTATTACAGGATGGTGGTCAAATTTACGCATAAATGACGCACGCATCATGGAGGTGCTAACCATAAACTTTCCTTAACTGTTATAGATTCATAAGGATCTTAGGTGGGTTGGAAGAGAATTTTTTTATTTTTGCTTCCATTGTGCCCTCTTAAACCCAACAAGGTGTGTATATATATATATATATATATGCCTATGAAAATAATATGAGAGAATAAAAGTGAAATAGACTCAAAAAAGAAATATAAGTATAAAATAATATGAGAAGATATCAGTTGATTATGAAAGAGATATTAGGAAAGATACATGCATTAAGTTAATCTTCAATTAAATTGCATAGCAATAACATAAGTGTAGCATGATGCTTAGGATTGTTAACAAGTCAAGTCAAGTCAAGTACTTGAGTACTTGTGCTTGAGCTCACATTAAAAATTTGAGCTCAAGTATTTATCTAGCTTAAAACAGATGAGCTCATGCTAAGCTCTCAAGTTCGAGCTTGTTCACAAGTTCAAGTATCCAAGTGAATTAGTGCTCGAGCTTGAATTTGAGCCTTTTATTGTAATTTCAAATTGTTTCAATAACCAATCATTTAATTATAAATTTGTTTATATTTTTCAAAAATATCATAGTACCAAAAGTTTAAATAAAAGCATTATATTAAGTCTAGCAATAAAAAAACACCATATCTTCCATTTAAATATTTTTATTAATAACTCTAAAAACCCAAAATATGTAAGTTATTTAAATTACCTTTTCAACATTTTTAAATTTATAAGTTATTCTATACTTAAATTTAATAAATAAATATATAATATAATTTTAATTCTAAACTAAGTACTTTGAAGTAGTTTACTAGTAGTCATGTGAACT